TCTTCACAGAGGGTAAGCCACAAAATACCTTTGCTAAAGAAGCTGTGTTTAAAATATGTTGAAAGACATCAAAATAAAGTTGAGTGGAAGGAAAAACTGAAGAGGAAGTGAAACAAATCACTTTTGACTGAGATACACAAGAGTTATGATTTGCTATAGGAAAAATGAATCACATAATTCAAATTGGATTGCTAAAGAAACTAGCAGTTTATAAAATGCATTATCTAACCATATTACAAGAAAAGTGGTTATGATAAAAAATAAAAAGATATTGACAAGTATAAAATGAAAAGGCAAACAGGGCCTAAAGCTGTTGCTTTCCTGATTTTGATGTCACTCCTGCACAGACAAAAGCAAAATGACCTGATCTAGAATATGAGGGGAAATGTACTGCTGCTCAATGATCATGGGTTCTATTTTTTTAACTAATGTTCCAGAATCTGGAGAAGTCCGAGGCACAGAATCCAGGTTTCTGATTGTCTATTGTGAGGTGACTTAGTCAGTGATTTTATGAATGCATGCCATCAGCAGGGGTCCACTGTGTTTCAGTCTAAATATTTTCAGAGGAATTCATGCTTGCATTTGATGCCAAACTTCATGTGTAATTTAATTTCTCAGTTAGACTTAACAGCAGCCACCATGTCAAAAATACCAATACATGCTCTAATGGGGCATATTATCACTGACTGACCAGCAATTTGACCAGACCTAGACCTAATTAGGAATCTGTGGTTCATTCTCAGGTATAAATTATCACTATTTAAGCACCCTGGGCTTCCTTTACACCTCCCCTGACCAGCATGCTTATTGCCTCCAAGCCACACTGTAATCATGCAGAAATTAATTCAAAACTAAGTGTACACTACACAGAACTACTGTATTAAAATGTCCTTTTTAATCTTGTATAATTTTCTAATCAGCCATAATCACTGTATTTATTAAAACTACAGATATGATTTATTTTTTAAATTGGATCATGGAAATAAACTAACATTTTATTGATGTTCGATTTCACTGAGGTGTGCCTGTATTAAAGATGGAGATTATAACCTTCCAAGGAGATTCCAAGCAGGTAACAGTGATGTGAAAGTATTTCAGACGCAATATTTCCATCCTTTGCTTTTTCACCAAGTCATGAAGTCAGACAGCCAGTCAATCAGTCGGGCAGTCTGCTGTTTGGGCGGGGTGGAGGATTGTAGACGGGCCCTTTGTTTGAACAGAGAAGCCCCAGACACAACAGTGGCCAGCCCTGGCCCCTTCACAATGGCCTTCGACACAAAGGCCCACACACTGGGACAATGGGCCGAGCTCAGAGGTGGGGGTGGGTGGGGGGTTAGATGGAACGGCTGAGCTAAGGTTGCCCACCTGCACGCTGCCGGATTGGATGGTCTCCACCTTTCCCACCCACACAAACACACAGAGACCACTTCCACTCATAACAAAAAGGCTGCTGCAGGTGTCTTCCTGTGCTGGTGGCACGAGGAGGAAGCTGGGAAATTCTGTGCAGCGAAAGCATTAATTTGAGTTTTACAGCCAGAGATGAACCGCGGCTGAAACTGAGACACGTGCAGTGAAGCTACAAACAGCAACAAGTGTTGCAGATAAATGCATTCAATTTAAATAAAAATAATTTATATATATGTATATATATATATAAATTATTTATATATGCAGAAGAAGGTAGCAAATTTATATGGAAGAGGGATGCATTGCATCTGTTAAGTAAATTTTAAACTTTTTTACATTACAAAATAAAATTAGAAAATGTTTAAAATATAATACATTTCTAAAACAGGTGAAGATATACTCACTTCAAAATGAAATCAAAATAAATAATATAATTTGCATTAAGTGCAATTAAACATACACACCAGTTTTAGAGTAGGATACTGTAAATATATAAATATATATTTTTTTCTTCTTATACCAAACAGTTGCGCTAAAATGTGACATTCCACCACATTTGGACTGGGATTTGATCCCCATTAGTTCTATTTGGATTAAATTGTTGATTACACTAGAAAAGGCCCTTAAGAAAATATACAGAAAAATACACACTTGAGAATTTATAGTCAACTAAAAAAAAAATAAAAAAGTTTAATCTCTGTGTTTTTCAGCCCATTTTAATATTGAGTAATAAATTCAAGCTATTTTTGTTTTTCATCAGTAATTCTGCCATTGGGTTAAGGTTAAATGCTAATGGTTGCACTCAGTAGTCTGCACCCCCAAATCTCCCTCACTGGATGAGCTGAGCGCCAATCATCTAACTTGACCTTGATGATTGCTCTCCCAGCTGTTTTAAACACCCCAAATACTAAAGAAAACTCTTTAGAGAGTAAAGAGATATTTGTTCCATGTTATAATTTTTGGATTTAATTTCTATTCATTTTCAGTGATGCAGTTAAGTATTGTATTTTCTTTTTTAAACACACCCAGTGTAAAAAAAACCACAAGCAACAAATTATACTTTAATTTTCTCTTTTATTGATTGCAACATTTTTTTTAATCCACACATTACAAAAAAAAAAAATGCACAACTCACATCAGGCTCAGTCTGCAACCTTATAGGGGGGAGGGGGAAAAATCTACCAAATAAAATATGCTTTTATAAAATAAAAATTATAGTAACGTAAATGCCACTTTGGATAACCGTAATCAAACCCATTTTTTTTTTTACTCTACATAAAAAAAGCTCAACATAAATAAGTTAGTATAATTTCTCAGTGTTTTTTGCTTTTTTTTGTTTGTTTTATTTTTTTACAAAATATGTACACAGGTACATTACAAAGATTCTACACAATTACACAGGCATGGTGACTGCATTTGTTGGACGAGCCTTTCTTCGTCTCAGAATATAAATCAAACGTTTGGCAAATACAGGAGAAGCTTTGAGATTCTCACATTTTGCATCCTCAGCAGGTTTTAAAGTATGGGAGGGAGGGGGCAAAAAAAGCGCCTACATTAATCACAAAGAAATACAATGTGAAGTCATCTACATAAAAGCAACCATGTATTTGGTATTGTAGAAGATATAACCGCTTTGAAAAAAAAAAAACAAAAAAAACCCCTCACGTCTATATAGCAGTAAGGCACATCAGGGTACAGTCAATGAGAACAGAGTGTGAAGTCTGCAAAGCCCTAAAAGCAAAAGAGGAGTGCAGAACAAGGAGAGGAGGAAAAAAGACCCAAACTGGTGCTAAAAGCATTAAAAAAAAGAATTAGAATAACCTGATTGATAAATATAAATTTCATCCTGTGGGTCAGGCTCTCTAAATAACTCAGATGGTGACAATGCAATGACCATAAACTAAATAAAAGAGCTACATTTGTACCATTCTTCAATGCCGAGTTAGGAAAATGGAGTGAAGACACAATGTTAGATTTTGAAAAGAGCCATAATTATTATTACATTTTTTTTTAAGTGTAGCAATTGGGGACCGTGTCAACTTCGGCTGCTTTTTAGGCTAACAAAACATAAAGAAAAAAAAAAAAGTTTCAAACTACACTGCAATTCTTCAAGTCAAATCAAAATTCACACTTTTAACATAAAGGATTTATTTTTAAATCATAATGTTTCTTATGTGCTACATATGGAGAGAAATATATATTCATTTATTAATTTATATACACACACAGGTAGTAAAAAAAAAAACATTTTTAAAAAAGGAGCAAAAAAGGAAGTCAACCTAATTGCACACTGCTACATCGACTGCTGTTAGAGGCAGTAACATTTAACTGAGTGCCAAAAACTTTAGTGTTTCTATTCAGTGCTTCAACAGCGTCCTCCCCAGTCTTCAGGAGAGCTGATATGTTTCTGATGCTGTGTAGATCCTCGTCCAAAAGGGGGGGGGAGAAACAACCAAAAAAAAAAAGCCAACACTGAGGTCTCCCATGCTTAAGGAAAAATAAGGGGGAGGGGGGCATCTTTTCTGTGGGGCAGAACAAGGCAGAGAAAAAAAAACAAGTGTCGCAAGTTAGTACAGCAGAAAAAAAGAAAATTAAATACACATTTTGAGGATAAATGTTTTTTTCTGCCAAGTCACCATCAAATTGTTTAAAACACTTTCTATACATGCACAGGATCCTTATGTTTTTCCTCCTTGAACCTTTAGTTGAGGTGCAGCTTCACTTTCTATATTTTTTTTGCTATTTTGTAGTATATTTTAGTATGTTGGATATATGTAAAAAAATTGCAAAAAATACAACTGAGTACATGCATGCACACTCAGTTAAATATACATATTTTACACTGTTCTATTAACTGTTTTATAAAAGAAAATAAAAATTAAAAATGATTCTCATTAATTCTTATTGGCCGTTTCAGTGGACTGTACTAATTTCCATACATTTTACTACCAAAAGTATATGCTTTTATTTTGTATAATGCCATCTGTACTCCTCTGGAATCTGAAGATTTTTCATCTAGAAACTAAAAAGGAATTTTCAACCTTGACCCCCATCTTTGCTGTGACCCACTTGATTTTCAGACCTACTCTACATCCCTCCTCTCCCTCACAGGGAGCTGTGTGTGTGTGTGTGTGTAGTAGTGTGTAGGGCGTTGAGTTTTTTTTTTTTTTTTTTTTGCAGCTCTCAGAGACCTGCCCCTTTCCGTCCTTGTGCTGAGGGCAGTGGCTGCTGACGTGTTACTACTACACTGTTGTTCAGCACTTGTTTATAGTTTAGTAGGAAACTGAGCAGTACCGAAACAGCTGCAGTGAAAGGGCTAAAAATAATGTACTGCACTTTTGTTTTCCTTTTTTTTTTCTTTCCACTCATTACGTTTATTTGTCTGAACTTGGTAAAGCTGATTATTCATAAATACTCCAGCTGAAGCACTCACATCTGTATAATCTAATCCAAATTATTATATTTTTTTGCGTATTTTAGGGATGAAGTTTGGCAAAGTGGAGCATTTTTTTTAAATTAAGCATTTTTAAATTATGTTGGACATCTGTAATTAAAAAAAAGAGGGAAATATGCACCGTGGCTGATTTTCTTACCGTTTTGTTAGTCCTCACGTTTGTCTCTTGGGACTGGACTTTCTGGGTGTGTGTTCAACAGAGTGGCTCAGGCTTGGACAACTAACTTCATCTGGGCTGCTGCGTGACCTCTTACTTTGCGCGCTGGGGTCTGGAAAAAAAATAAAAATATATATAAAAAATATGCTTTTAGTTTGCTAATTTCTTTGTGGTTTTAATTTCTATATTTATATTAAAGAGAAATCCCAACACACACAGCACTGTATACATGAACACAGCAGCCATTCGGGTTGAAAACAGAAAAAGTAGTACCGTGACACGGTCTCTTCCTCAGCCCCGCGCACTGCTCCGTACACTCGGTCTGACCCACAGACAGGCTGGTTTCTTCGCTCGGAGGAGCCACCAGAACACAGCTATGATTCCCGTTAACATCCACCTTGGTATTCCCAGAGCAGACGCCTTTCTCCTTCCGCGGCGGCCGCACGTAGAAATCCGGCATCTCCGCGGAGTCCACTCGTTCCCAAATGAACCTGGAGTTCGGCAGCGGCACGTCACGGGCGAAGTCGAAGCCCCACTCCGCTGCCGCAAGGTCCTGCAGCTCCCGCATGTGTCCCTTTAAATCCCTGTTTAACTCTTCGTGGTCCACCGAGCCGAAGAGGTTCCGGCAGGCTGACGGCTTCGGGTGCTCCGACAGCCGGGGTTCCGTCCGCTCCAACGTCGGGCTTCCGTTTGAAAGTCGAACGTCTGACATTTTACCTCCTAAAAAAGCTGAATCTTCTAGCAGCCAGGAGCGTCCGGTTTTCATAAGAAAAAACACCTCGCTGAAAAGACGGGAGAGAGAAAAACAACAGCGGCTATCTCCTCGTCACGGGGGGAAAGATCCGACACGGGCGTGGGAGCGCTTATGCCATGCGTACGAGAGGCTGGAGGCACCAATGGCTTCTGCTGTGTTCTGACGCCGAAGATAGTCCCCGCGAATCATCAAAACAAACTGCACAGGAACCGAAGGCGCTGTGTCAATTTTCGTCCCGCACTGAGAGAAACTGCAGAGTAACCTCTCAAAACCCAATATGGCGATTGAAGGCGTAGTGTGAACAGACGGGAGGATGGGCTCAGATGGAGGCGGGCCACAGCGATGTGATTGACGCACACAACTATTTAAATGCCGAGCGGGTCGCTCATTGGTTACCCACATAGGCCCCGCCCATATTTTTTAAATGCGATATTTGGATCATTCTGTTAATAAGTTTATATTAATAGTTTTATCATTTGACATGAAGGTCTTAATCAAACTAAATAGAAGAAAAAAAACGTGTACAAGTGTTTTGACAGCTTTGTATGGGCTTTATTGTGGGGAATCCATTTCAACTTTAGTTTTAATGTTTTTAGTTTTTTGGGGGGTTTTTTTATAATAAAAGTTGCTATAATTATATAACCCAGGTTGAATAAAACAGCATGTGACTATCTGGCATGGAGCCAGTTTAAAAAAAAAAAAAACTACCCACAGGTTCTTATACATATACACATACATTATACAAAAAATGACTAAACTATGAAATTGAAATCCATATCTAAACTTTAAAATATGAGAAAAACATTCATTTGATTGATGTAGACTCCATGGCTGAGTTAATTTCTTTGTTAATGTTAATTAAATAAATTTGTAAATTTAAATGTTAGTGCTCAGCAGTAGTTTATCCAATTAGCCCCCCTCACTGTTTCTCTGTATGCTGCAGTCACTCTAACATACAGTACATAACACTCTAAATGTTGTTTAAAAATAAATAAATAAAAATTGTACAGACATAAAAATTTGCAAGAACTTAAGTAAAAAAAGAGTGGTGTGATATTTTTTTTGCATGACTGCATATACATTTTAAAGGCAGCACACAGTTCATTTTTATCTTCGAGTCTACATGTGTACATTAACCATTGTGTTTTTTTACAATACAAATAAATTTATTATAATAATTATCATTAATTTATTATAGTGAAAATAAAAGTATAATTTGTGAAAAAACTGCCAGAACCAAATAGATATACATTTTCTTAAATGTTCTATATTTTCAACAAAGCCAGGAAATCGATTTAAAAAAGAAATGGGCAAGGGAAAAAAATCTTCCCTAAATGTAATATTTAAAGAAAATCTATTTTTGAATTTAAACTGCATCATAAACCTTTTCCCCCTCAACATTCGGTGGTTGTCTCCCAACAGTGTGTGTAAGGGTACATTTTCCATCATAAAAATAAATTTAAAAATGTTGAAGCAAAACAAATGTTTGCATTATACTTTAATATAAAGAAAAATATTTTCTTCAAACAGGAACACAAGTGTTTGGAATAAAATATGAAATTTAGCTCAACTTTAAAGCTACTGGTTTTCTGAAGTGTTGCAGTTGATTAAATCCGTGTCCATGAGGTTCTCTGTCCACCGTGACGCAGGTAATGTCGCCCTCTAGTGTTCACTTTCCTACACTCTCTGCAGCAGTAAGTCAATACAAAAAGATGATCTCTTACATATGCCATTTAATGAACATGTGTTTTAGATTTTAGATAACACCACATCTATACATGTACACATATAAAAACAATAAATGCACAGTCATTTATGAGTCCAATATTATCTCCCTGAAAACTCCTTTGAAGTTTTTCCTCCTACCTTCCCTGTCAATCAGGCAGCCTCAGAGGCTCAGCCACTTGATGATGTAAAAGTTTTTCTTGCCCACTCTTAGCAGGGTCAGTCCGTTAGACAGGACATGGAGTTTGGGGATCAGAACCTGCTCCGGTTTGTCTTCCCTTTTGTGGTTAATCCATACAGCTCCATCAGAGATCATCCGATACCTGAACAAAAGCATTAGACACACACAGATTCATGTGGGCTCTTGTTTAGATAGAATGAATCATTACAACGAAAGCTTATGAAACAAATAGAAAATTTAAACAATATATTTTACAGCATGATCAAACACCAACCATATTTCCTTTTTAAAAATCATTTTAGGTCTAATATCGTGTTACATATAATATCTAAGAAGCAGTAGGAATGTAAACAATGTAGTTTCTTTTTAACGCGCAATGCATTGATAGGTATTTACAAATAGAGCGGCAAATAACTGTCAATTTTTTCGATTGATAATCGGATAGCGAAAGGTTTCTTAAAGATGCTTTTTTACAGAATGAAACCAGATCAAACAATAAAAACTTTTCCACCTGAGTTCTGGATAGAGCATATCAACAGACCAAAAAGTTTTTTGTTTTTTTTTATCTAAGTGGGTTGCCCTGTCAGCTAAAGGTATGTTTTAGAGTCTCTATACTCCAGTTGATTACTAACTTAGCAAACTATTATTTCAATAATTGATTATTCCCGATTAATCCGATTGTTTCAGCCCTATATACAAACAACACAATTAACAGCAATTACAGATAGAAATGAAAAATCATTGAATCACATTCTGTTGGAGGTACAGCTCAAACTCCTTATAAGTCATACATCCTTAACTGGACTTGGGGTTTAATGCTACTGGCCCGATGCAGCACATCCCTGCTCTAACATTTTATTTTTTTAAGTCATTCATGAATTTACGTCCAGTCATCCTCCCAATTAACCTTGCGCTACAAGCTGGATTGTTGTAAGATCTGAATTTTCAGTCTTACAACAAATCCATCTTTCAAGACTAACGCTAATGTGTCCATCTCATAACAACCAGTGGGTCGGACCAATCACATTCCAGCCGTGTTTTTTCGGGGCCGGACATGTAGGAACGACGACAGTCAGAAGGGCCTCGCTGGGGCATTACAAACATGGCTCCCCGGAAGACTCGCCTGTCAACACCGTTAGCAACAATTTGTTCTTTAAAAAAGTAGCAAATAGAAGCACTCTGTGCATTTGTAGATGAGAAAGATATCTGTGCTTTTCTTCCAACGGGATTTGGAAAAAGTTTGATTTATCAGCTTACAAAACATCACAATTCACTGCTACGGTTGGCTGAAAGCGTATTATGGTTATCAGCTCAAAGTATTAAACTAAAGATCCCTTCTTTTCAGAGACAGACTGAACAGCAGCCATTACATATTAATAACGTAGAACTCAACTCAGTTATACCCCTATCGATCTGGCCACTGCCAGTTTACCTCCCAACATCTAATACCAGCAATCCAATGACCAGCGGCAGAGGTTTGTCTAAATAAATGAGGATTGAGGTCCGTACCCTCTGGGTCCATCTGGGATGGCGCCGACCTTGCGGCAGGCATCTATTACGGTGGTGCCTGGCTCCAACAGCAGCTCATGGAAAGGAGCCTCGCTGAAGAGTTCCTGAAGCTCCTCATCGCTCATTTCTTCCAAAGCCTGCACGCTGCTGTGATACAATGCATTGGTGCATCTGCAGGGACACAGAATTCTGCTTTTTAAGGATCATAAATCTGGTCATACGAAGCAATACTTTTTTCTATGTACGCAGCAATCTCTTGCTTTATCACATTTAAGTTAAAAAGTAAATCAACACGGACCAGTTCTGACCTTTTGGCGCTCTCCAGGCCCTCCTTTCCATGAACCAGTTTGGTCACTTCTGCAGCCAGTCGTTTGTGAGCGAGGCGTTTGCTTGGATCTTCCCTCTGCTGCTCCATCAGCCTCTCCACCTCCGCCAGGGGCAAAAAGGTGAACAACTTCAGGTATCTGCAAAATATCCACACACGGTATTTCAGCTTCCTGGCACAGTACAGCTGGAATCTTGTAAACAAAGCGGGTTGGGTAAGCGTTCCTCTCCACGTACCCCTCCACGTTAGCATCCGGCTGTCGAAGGAAGAACTGGTAGAGCTCAAAGGGCGACGTCTTGTCTCTGTTGAGCCACACCGCGTTGCCTGCGGTTTTCCCCAGCTTGTCACCGGCAGAGCTCGTCACCAAAGGGATGGTCAGGCCATAAACCTCCTCACGGCTTACTCTACAGAAATACACAACAAAACCAGTTGGATTAAATATCACATTATATTTCTGACAAAAAAGTTGCCTAGCAACCAGTTTTTGCCATTAGAGTAAAAACATTTTCTCTCCAATACATTTATTAGACTTTAATCATTATTTTCCTTTTTGAGATCGCTTTGTTCTTGAATTTAATAACACTAGAATGACTCCATAGATCACCCACTTCTGCTACAACCTAACTGGTTAACTAAACACTCCTACCACAGGTGGAGCCATCATGACAGAGCTCGATGTTAACCATCGCCCAATCTCGCAAGTAGTTTTTATTGTTGGGAGAGTACAAATTTCATTGCATTTGCCCGCCGGCCAAGGCAAAGAACCAAAAAAAAAAATTATTTATCACTCAAAATAACTTTAAAATCACTGACATTCAATGAAAATGACCGGTGCCATTTTTGTTGTTTTGTACACATTCTCGCGTGATTTGAAAAAGGCTAATAATAATCTAGCGGTAATTTTGATGTAGTTACCAAAACGGCTCCATTTATTTTGTCAGGGAAAACTAATCCTGAGTCAGTTAAAAGTCAGGGAATTCTAAAATTACGCAAGACTGTGGAAACCCCGTATAAAATAACTGTATAATGATTCTCTAGAAAAGTCACATTATATTAATAGTATTATCTTGTATAAACATTCCCGTGACTCTAAAATAAAAGTTATTAATTTGTGACATTGACTTCTGTCTTGTGATTTATCTTAAGTCTTTAACCTGTCAAGTTTTTTTTTTAGATTTTTAACATTACAATTTATATTTTTCCAAGCACACAACAGTTTAAAGCAAAGTTTAGTTTGAAAAGAATGTGCAGGAAGGATTGAAAAGCATGTTAACACGGTAATGTAGGCTTGAGTTCATTATCTGACGCATGCATATACACACCAGGAACCTGAAAACTTAAAAAATACTGAATTACAAAAAACATTTAAAAAACAAACAGGTTTCATTGATATATATATATACAAAAAAATAAATATTAGGAACTATATTTATCAAACATTATACTGGGCAAGTAAAAATTGTTTCTGGGCAAATTAAATGTGAAAGTCAAAAATCCTTAACGTCAAACCCTGCATGAGGAGGAGGATACTATTTCCCCCCCACCTGTTTTAGAAATGCCAGCACTTTATTCCAATGACTGCACGAC